TTATTTAAACTTACTTTATGGGATTTCAAAAGAGATATACTATTTGTCATTAAATTAATTCAGTTCTCACTTCGAGGTAAGGCAAAAATACATAAACACTCAAAGCATCTTTATTAAAAGTTGTAAAATAAAAATAAAACTAAAAATAAAAAAAAAAAAAACATAAAACACCAAATACAACTGAAACAGTTGAAAAAAATTTTTTACACAAAAATAAGCAATTCGGCCAGCAGGCAAGAAGGCAGATTTTTTGGTGCACGAAACGTTTTTGGTGCACAAAAAAATTTTTTGGTGCACAAAACAAGTGCTTTTGGTCCCACTTGGCAAAAAGGCATTTAAAGATGTGGAAAAGATCGAATTCATTATTCTACTGAGCTTCAAATGTAAACAAATGGCGGTTCGTTAGGCTTACCTCGGCACTTTTAAATTGTTGATAATTCTACAACTAGTACATGCAGATTAATTAAAGGCATAGAAACCACATAATTCAATCACTTTTAAAGTAAAAAATGCAAAATTTACCAACATAAAAGAATTAAAAACCTAACTTACCAAGCCAGGTAACAGAGTGGGAAAATATATATATATATACGACTGGTGCAGGAAATTCCAACGAAAACGTAAGGTGCAAAACTGCATGTTATAACAGATAACTAAATAAAATATTACGATTACGAACGGAAAATTTGAGAAAATATTAAAATATTGGATTTACTTCTTTCTCAGCAGTTTTACTAGATTAAGTTTTCGTATGTTATATGCGAATGGGACATAACAGAGTATAACCAAGTTTTGTAAACTGAAGAGATTTTCTTTTGAGGTTGAAAAAACACTAGCCTCTACGAAATATTTTCAGTATAACAGCAAAAACATTTTATGTCAAGATTCATTAGTAAAACAGAAACTCTTCTTTCCTTCGCTTCGCATAAAACTCTGTCTCACGAGAAGCACTTCGTGAAGATGCTGGCAAAAAGTGATTATTGATTTAAACTTATTATATAGTAAATTGAGGAATACAGATAACTCCATAGAGTTTAATTGATTAAGTGTTTGGTTAACAATTAGGAATAAGAGTATCTGGCTGCAATTAAATATATTAAAATATATTTCATATTTCAGGATTTTATGCTATTCAGTGAATAAATATATTAGTTTTGAAGTAAGGAGCAAGGAAAGCTACGTTTTCAAATGATTGCTATAGCGTGCAAATTCATCTTAAAAATGTCGTTAATTCTTAATGAATCAACAACAACAAAAAAGTCTTCTGTCTTAATGATGTTTTTGGAGGGGGAATACCAATGCCTAGCACATGAGACCACGGAATACCCGGGTACGCGTTTGACTCGGGTACAAATTCCATCGAATAAAGCTGGCTGTGTGGGAATTTTCTGGATTTTTCGTGAGTGATGTGAATACTCACGAATTCTCGTAAAATGAATTTCTCGTAAAATGAAATTCTCGTAAAATTTCTACACGAAGGCTACATTATGGAAGAAAGTATCTTAGTGTACTTTGCCAAATCCTATAAATCTATACATACAATTTTCTATACATACAATTTTTTGAATTCTGGAGATATTTGCACACGTATTTAACCTCCAGTCCCGCAAAAATATATAAATTAAATGGTTTTTCATACAACAAAATTTTAAAATGCTTTTGCGACCACCAATAAATTTTACGCGACATTCCAGGAAGCCTAGACACTCTAGTTTGAGAACTCAGGTATTACTCATTGCATCCAAGCGTAAAATATAATCATGGCTCTGACATATATATATATATATATTTGCAATAATAAGATTTCATAGTCAAGAATACACTTAAAATTCTAACTGTATGTTCTTTTCATTTTTAATGGCGACGATCTCTTATTTGAAAGTACGTGGAATTAAATCCACAGCCCCGTAAGTCAAGTTGTTTTTCCCGCCTTTTCTACACGGACAGTTATAGAATGTTATGGAAATATTTAAAGCGAACTGGAATGGCTGACGAGGCTGACGTCATTTCTTGGAAGCTCCGCCTTTCCAGAGGCTATAAAAGGACTCGCAAAAGAATATCGGGGGCTTTTTCTTTAATGTAACGATACAGTAAACTTCATACAAAAAGTTATTAGTAATTCTTTTTATTTACTCCTTTCTTTTATTTTGTGACTGCTATTTCTCCTGAATAATAATAAATGGATCCTGTTTTTTAAACTTATCGTCTGATAATTTAAGCTACGACTATATTTATGATTCTTCACCAATCTATTTATTCCGGACAAAAGGTGGTACAAAAGAATAAAATAATTTAAAAAAATCTCCGCACGGCTCTGGAAAATTTTAAACAGCTACACCATAATTGAAAAATTTAAATCAATCACAAAGCACGATTTAAAATCAGAATATATATTAAAAAGAAATTAACGGCGAGAAGATGAATTCTTTTTTTTTTCCCCACTACGTACTTTTAAAAAGTAAGTTTGAGCTGTATGAGTAAATATTCCGCTGTCAGGCGAAAGCAACATTAAGAGAACACTCAGCCACACGATTTCTCCATTATTAAAACTTTAAGATACAGCGAGGGCGGTTGGAAAGAGAAGAATTTGCTTCACAAGTCTCGCCCAGGATTCCATTACACTCCACGAATATAACAGGATTTTATTTTGGCAACTTTTACGCAAGTTAAGCGAAAATATATCTTAAATTTTACGATGTACCGCGTTTGGTAAAATCTTACAGAGGAAGCAAACTACTGTTTTGGTCCTTTAAAATCTAAAAAGTATTAAAAAAAGGGAATACAATTTAAATACAATTTTACTAGATATTAATAGCTAATGTCTAGGAATAAAAGATTGAAACAAAATTTATTTCGTCCGTTGTTAAGTTTTGTTTCTTTTGCAAGCTTTTTCTAAAGATACCGATATATCTCTAACCTCTGCCACTTTCAGGAGCGGTTCAGGATTAATTTTCATGCATTATTTATTTATTTATTTACTTATTTGTTGATCAAGGTAATATTTTTCAGAGCCTTTTACTTAACGTAACGAATCATTCCCTTCCTTCACTTGCGCTTTCGATTTGAAAGCGATTAAAACGTCCAGCTAGTAGAAGATCTGCGACAGGAATCTTGACAAAGACATAGCTGATGTTTTACGTTTCTTGCTCTGAAAAACCTAATAGTATTTGCATTAGTAGGAAAAGGACTTGTCAAAGCATCTTTTCTCGTCCTTCAAATTAAATGTTGCACAGCAGAAAGTTGTTAAGAAGTTTCCCAAGGGTCAGAGGACAAGGAAGTCTAAATAAGAGGGAAATTCTGTCAGAAGCAATACGATAGTTAGGAAACAGTTTAAAAATAAAAAATCTGATGTGTACACCACATGACTTCCTTGTATTGGAATATTAAATTGGAATATTAAATTATACGCATTTTTTCTTGCATTTCATTTAAACTTATTGGATTGAATTAAATCTACTTCGCCGACAGCGCATAAAACACAATAGAATAAATGCATTCCTTAAAATTCACCCTAGTATTTGTTTACCATAGCGACACCTCTGGCGCTAGCTAATTCCACTTAACAGTATTACATTAATTATATATACACTTATAACATATATGCCGAAATTATATACATGGAAAACTAAGTTAACTGTCAGTGATAATCCAATAATTATATAACAGTGCATGACGTATAATAGTTTACGTTCATGGTAATTGATCTTATAACTCATAATGCACAAAATTTATATCATTTAAAGAATAGAATCATCTAATCGTTGCCACATGTTCTATTCAAATATTATAATAAAGCTAAGAACTATGTTTAAAAGAAATTAAGCAAACAAAAGAAAAAAGAAACAGTTTTTCACAGACGAGTGAGTATTTCTCATTCAATTAATTCAGTTCTCACTTCGCGAGAAGGCAAAAATAACTTAAAATACCTCTATTAAAAATTACGAAGTAAACCTTAAACACTTATTTCTTCGAAAAAATTCCAGAAAGAATTAAGCATGATTTAATTGACAATAATAAATGAAGGCGTTATCTTTGTTGTTGCGAAGCTAAGTTTCTCTAGATTGGCAACAGATCCAATAGTCTGCTGTTTCAAATGTAAATAATCAATGGCCGCCATAAAAAAGAAGGCTTAGCGGCACTTAAACAACTTTAAAATTGTTGATAATTCTAAAAATATTGCATATATCTTTACTAAAGGCATAAAAACCTTAACCGGAAGATAAAAATAACATAATTCAATAATTTTTAAAGCAAAAAATGTACAATTTACAAACATATAAGAGTAAAGAAACTGAGAAACTGAGATAACAGAGTGGATATATATATAAATATATTTATAACGGTGTTTACATAAATATCTACGTTTAGTGCGGTCGATTGCACCAAAATACGAGGTGCACATCTACATGTTTAAACAGTCCTATATACAAAATTTCAACGTTATGAGGCTACTCGTTTTTGAATTATGCGAGATACGTACGCACGTACGTACATATGTTCGTACAGACGCCACGAAAAATTCTTCAGAATTAATTTTTTAAAGCAGTTTTATATATTTTTTTTGAGAAAACGAGTCTTTTATTCTGTCCTTAGATACAGATATCACGCAAAAACATCGTTAAATTGCATTCGATAGCGGTCAAAATGGATATTTTCGTTGAAATATGCTGCCTGAAACTTTTCACGATTACAATACTTCCTTTTTACTTCGTACAAGGAAAAAAAAAAGGGAAAACATTTTCAAGGAAAACATTTCGAGGAAAACTCGATCATATTTCCATCGCACATGGGAAATCACAAAAACGAAATTATACTTCTACATTTCACGGACAGGAACTTCGTACCTAGGAAAATTCTGTGTACCCCTACTGAGTTTTGTTTTTCCTGATACATTTAAAACCAAACTTCTTGGGCGATAGACTTCTTACGCAGAATTTCTAATCCAGGCTCCGCTGTATAGCACTAAAAGTAAAACAAGTAAGTTATCATCGTTTACGTACATAATATGGTTAATCTTCACTAGTAACTTCATTGTAGGATTCAGATTATCATAGACCTGCATGGCTTAAGTGTTCAATATGATGATTGCCAAGCACGTACGTTTGCTCATGATCTCATTTCCTGGCAGAGAGTTAGTTGAGAACACGGTAAACGATAGTTCCCAGAATATTTAAGGCAGTATTACGTCTTCCAAGGACAAAAAAAGAACTCATTTGCTTTACCGGATATGTGCTTATCTTTTGGTTTGCCGGTAAATTAAGAAAACTTGAGACTTTGGGGTTAAACACAACTGAACATCATTGCTATACCCTGCACATTTTTTTCCAACTCGGGATCCAGGAAACATTTCTCTGAAAAAAAAAAAAAAATGCTTATTTGGTTGAACAGAAAATTATTCTCAACTGAAAAATCAAGGATCAAAGCCAGATTTATTTCATAGCTAAATGAAAGATATTTGGTCCACATTTTTACCATACTCAGTCAGTTTTACATTAAAACCTAAAATTCAAATAAAACATGCTTTACTTTAAAAATATGCTTTTAGACAATTTCTAATACAGCATATATCTTAATCTTCAGCTTCAGTTTGGATTACTTTGATTTATGAAGGGAAAGTACTGAAAATAAATGTGAGAGGTAATATCTTCTAGCAGGTGTTTCTAAGAAAAGTCCCCTCGCTGTTCATTAAAATTATATAGTATATTACACCTTTTACTTTTGAAATAAAGTACTGCTAGAAATACAAATCAAGCAACACTCATATCATTGACAAACTATTGAATTATTTGATTTTAGAGAGAACGAAATTTGAAAAATCAACTGTGCCCCTTCTGGGCCCTGAACTAGAAAAATACAGTTAATTTTTCAAGTTTCAGCCCAGTTTTGCAACTGTTAGTTGATTAAGCTGCCCATAACATACCACACTACAAGAGCGTATGGATAAAATGCTTGTAATTCATTATAAATTCGAGAATTCTAGTTCCAAGATCACTCGAAACTCCTTTGAATCTAGTCAATTTTTCTAAACAGAATAGGAATCGCTCGTAGATAGGACAGGAATAAGTTAACGGAACACAAGAACTTTATTCTATAGTAATATATGTATAGTCACGCGATTCTATTGATCTAGAAGACTTGTTTCCAAACCATCCAAGGATCGCGACCCCATTTTAAGTGCTCGAGCCGCACTAAGACCCCAAATTCTCAAGAATATTATATTTTAAAACATGTTTGGACCCCTTTTATGCAGTTTTTCAGCAACTTTGCAACTCCTAGTTCGAAGATTACTGATTTAGAATAACGTTATACAGAATCCGTCCCCCCCCCACCCACACACACAGTTGACTGACATACAGTTATAATTTTTGATGGAATTTTATCAAAATATACAGTCATTTTTATGATGAAATTTTGGAATATTTATGAGAGATTTTTGGAAGCGTGTTGGAAGTTGGTAATACGAGCAGTATGATCAGACAAATTCCTGGTTCAAATTCCTATTCGAAATCCGAATTGTTATTGGGATGTGGAGTCTACATTTTGTTTCTGAAAATAGCATTGACGGCATTTAATAATTTACCTTAGTAAGCACTTTTTATATCTGACAGATCTAGACAATAATGCAACAGCTTATAACTTTTATAAATAGCGCAGTCATTTTCCAGCGAGAGAGCCGTCCAAAAAATAAAGCTCCGAAGACTTCCTGAAAACTCGGATCGGAAATTCATCCAAAGACTGCCACACTCAAAACATCCAGCAAATCGCTGATGAACGAGGAGATGTCGTTTTGATATATAATAACAGTTCTTCCCGTTAGGAAGCAATGGTAGGAGAGAGCTACCATTTTTCTTCGACGTTCGTTCCTAATGACGAACGGAAAAATGCTTTTAAAAGAGTTGTAAAAAAGTGGAATGCTTCTTCTTTGTACTGGCGAAAAAATACTGGACGTCTGCAATATTTAGGAAGAATTTGTGGTCGCTCTTTCCTTCATACCATTCCTGCTATGTGGTCCTTCTAAATCCTTTTATCCATTTATATACTGCATTCTTGTTTTCTTTCGCATCGCGATGGAATCAGATGAGAAATTGCGACACTTCTTATAAAAAAATATACATGTTTATTGAGGATGATATCGATTTTATAGGAAAAGTATCAGGTATTCATTAGCCTGTAATTAGTCAGAGATGGATTAGTATCTTAACAGAGAAAAAGAAATCTAATAATTGAGAAAAAGTGCTTGAAATTAGTTGGGGCCCACCAAAGCCAGCTTTAGCACTCATCGGGTTTGAGAGATGGACACACAAATAATACGACTTTGTAATGAAACTGTATCACAATATAAGCAGAAAATTCTAAGATTCATAGAGCATTTATTTTAGAAATATTAATGAACACAATGGCATGGGTGATAAACTTGTTTCCTCTGCTGTTGGTACCGATATTATACTCTGATACTATTGTATTACTTGGCAACGGCACAATTTGTTGATTATTTCTCCAATACCAGCTGCACAAAATTCTTTGGGTTGCTGTCTCAACCACATTAGGACATCATTCTTGAACATAGTCATCAACGTCTGCAAAGCGTCTGTCTGGGGTAAGATTTCTTTTAGTCGACCAAACACATTCTGCTACTATTACAGCGCACAATACCTTTCTTCAAAGAATTCCTCCAACCTCTGCACTGTTGAGTCCATGGTGGTAATGGTTGAATCTGTCTCAATCTGAATTACGAATTACTTTTCGGGGCCTACCCCCCAAAAAAAAGGATAGCAGCACGTTGTCCCTCTCTTGTACAATCACTGAATTTCATCAGCATTTTTAAAATGAACTATACACGTGCAACTGGTACTTAGTAACTAATAAAATGAATACCATTGAACAAGGATAGTTTTGCTATCCATTAACATATACTGAAAACACTAATTGCATTGCTGTATACAAATATGTGACGCCAGGACTTACTTGAAGACTTCCTTTCCTAAAATTAGAAACTAGATGTTTGTTTTATCTTCACCTGCTCAGTGGACTTTGCGTTTGAAAACGTTTAACTTTGATAAGTCGAAAATTCTGAATTTACATTGCTTATTAGTAGACAGATGTAGCTCACTTCTAGGTGCTTTACATAAATTACACCGTTGGATTTGCAGTTTTATATTGAGTAACGTGAAGTCTGCAACAATTATTTTCACTTTTGCTTACAGTTTTGCAATTTAAGCGTTGTACTGTCTTCTCACCGATTCACGTCACATATATTCCCGCAGAGCAGAAGATTATATGAAAATTAAAGCACGCGTAAAACAATTTAAAAGGTAGCAAATGTTAACTGCAACTGATGCCAGGTTGTCTAAAGAGCCAGCTTCACAACAGCATCGATTTGTATTGGGATAAGATTAGTATTCGTCGGTTAGGTTAAGTTATTTGGATACAGCAGTACAGGACCCTAAGAAGTGTTTCAGACACTAGAATTTTACCAGATCGTCTCACAAGTGTAATTCCAGCACATTAAATGTACAGTTCCGTGCCAATTATTATGGAATACATCCTAAGGAACTTCCCTACTACCAAACCACTCGATAGAATTTTTGGCTCGCCAATATTTTAATTGCCTCACGCCGCACAGGCATCATGCACTTACAAACAGCCATGCTTTCTCCAGGATTCAAATGCGGCCCTACGATACGGCAGTCAGCATCATTAGCCATTATAGCAATCAGAGCGACATTTGGATATGGCAGAGCATAACAAGGACTATTTACCAATTGGGGGAGGAATGCCTCCACGGAAGATTAGACTTACTTAGTGACCAACCTGTTTCCATTCGAGATTGAAACTCTTTCTAAACTTACGTTGCTTTTTTGCCTAATTTAAAATTTTGCAATTATGGTGTATTTTCTTCCACTTTAATTTGGCGTGCTAAGGACAAAAGCGGCTGTTTTATTTTAGAGAATATGTTTTCGATGGTGACACATTTCCAAATCGGTTGCTTAAATTTTACTAAACTTATTGCTAATTAATTTACCCCTTTGGCTTTGCAGATTCTTGCCTTAACTATACCCCACGAAATAGTAAAATAAAGTCTGTTCAATTTTAATCTGTATAAGATGATTTTAGCTAGGGCGTCATTTCACCCGGCAGTTACAAAATAACTTTGTGAAATACCTTTGGATGACCACTTCTTTAAAAAGTGTTTTTGAGTTTAAAAATTATTGCAAACTGCCGTCATTATGCTGCGCACAGTTTGTAAGGATCCTAAGTTTTACTAACGTTTATTTTATTTTAAAACTGTACTATCGCTTCTTATTTTCTACTTCCGGCCAGAATTAAATGCTTTAACTTGTTTATGAAAATTGTCTTGCTAACGCCAAGTACTTAAGTTGTGGCTTTTTGCCAAGAGAGAGTGAGAAGGAGTTTTAGGAAGCAAGCCGCCTGCCACTGTAGTTTTACGAGTTTTCACTCGGTTGCTGGTTGCCTTTAAGGGCCAAAGGTTTAGCCCTCTTGATAGTTGCAGACGTATCGTAGTTTTAGCGTACCACATACGTACCTTTTTTAAATAAAGGCCAGTCTTAGTGCTAGGCATTTGTATACTAATTCAAAGTTAGCTTTTAGTTAGAGTTTTAGTTAGTAGTTTTTATATTCTTACGTTCAGACCACAAGTGGTTGGTCTCTGTATTCCGAAGTTCGGAAATATCTGTAAAGTATTGAAAATAAAGGGTGTCGTATAACCTTCCTGCTTGTGTTGTCTACTTCTTGAAGTAAGCTCCCTGTTCCTATTCAGGATCATTCATGTTTCCAACGCAAGTCAAGAGAAACACGAGTCCTGACAAGTTCATGCTCATTTGTTTGCTATTTAATTGTACAGCATTTATTAATTACTACCTTTTAATTTGCTATTTCGGTACATTATCCGTTGGATTGTGGTACACTCTAAAGCATTATGAGAAAGCACGTGTTAGATACAGGACCAAACATTCTTGGAGTTTAGATAAGATATATTTCATAACATTATTTTGAGAAGATTTCACTGACATATATCCTATTTCTCAAGAACCTACCACAAAATACAATCCACTCAGATGACACTTTAAATTACGAACCTCTTCTATTTCGTATCACAGTTTTTTTTATCATCACTCAGTGTTACCTTCCTGAAGGGGATTTCTTCAAATTTCGCGGTTTGCACGTTTTAATATCGAAGCGGATTCCATCCGATCGCTACATTCTAACTCGCAAACAGTACTCGATAGGCTTCACCAAGCCTATTTTCAGGCCAACTACCCGCAGCTCCGCGTTGTCATGCATAAGATTTGCATTTGCATGGAATCCGTTTTCCACGCGATTGCGCTCGGGA